TACCCCACAAACTGCTATTATTATTATTATTATTATTATTATTATTATTATTCACGATTATAATAATAATAATAATTATTATTATTATAATGATGATGGTGATGATAATAATAAAATAATAATAATAATAATAATAATAGGCCGATGATTTTACTGTGAATATATACTTTTAAGACTTTTACTCGTTGAGAATCTGCATTCTTCATTACAATGGAAATCATTTTCATCTGTCCCACAGCAAAATTGTCATACAGAGCAGCTATAATGGCGCTTCGTTAACCGCAAACACAAAAGCAGATACCTTTCAAATCTCGGACAGTTCAGGAATACTTATACTCTACAGAGCAGGCTAGAGTGATGGCGTGTCACGATGGCCTCGCGAAAACTGCGCGTATGATCTGCTGCCTGTCAAGAACTATATCATTTACATGTATTCTTACAGCATTGCAGCCATGAAAAACCGTGTCGGGCTCACAAACAGTGCATGTCAGAGCCACATGGTAAATTATCGCTTCAAAGCAAATACATATCAAATTCAAAGTTAAATCATTTGCTTATTATTTAAACTATATTAACATACTCTTTTAAAAACTTTTTAAATATTTCGGTTATATCATCAGAGCAGCGAATTTCAAAGTGGTGGCAGCCCCGCAATAAATTAAAATAAAAGTAAATGAATTAACACGGAAATAGGGGGCTATTAGTATACGCCTATGCAGCAACAGCAATAACAACAACAAAAGTGCTACTCCTCCAACTACTACTACTACTATTACTACTACTACTAAAAATTAATAATAATAATAATAATAATAATAATAATAATAGAACTTTGAAGAACTTCACGTATACATCTCCAGTATAACCGCATACCTTTGTTCTTTAAGTCCCATTTAGTAGAAACTGTGGCAGTAATATTGTGCTGGGAAAGTTAACTAAAGTTCGACGGCAACTGCTACAGAAAAGAGAAGGAATCATGGGAAAAGTGACATAACCCGCCAAGTTAAAGTCAGGTGATGAAAGAAACATAATTCATCAATGAGATTTTTTCTTCGTATGCCTGGGACACTTTGTGTCACAGAAAAGTGCAGTTACATACAGAACCAGCATAAAACACAACACGCCTATAACGTCATTTATGTAATTTGTATAATGTGCCATTTCGTTTCTTTTTTTTTTTTTTTTTTAAGAATTTGGGCCGTGTAGATTATGTTATTAGTCCCAGAAGATGGCGCTGAAGTATCATAAAAGCTTGTTCTCTTACTATGCATTGCACTTCACCGAGGGCTTATTCATTCTAAATATATGCGGTTATAATTATAACTGTCTAATTCAAATTCAGCAGACACCAGTATTTAAAAATAAACTTAAATTAAAGGCTTGTTAAGGTGATGTCCTTTTGTTTTTAAAACTGTTTATGTTTTATATCTTTTAAAACTAGATGATTTCAGAATGCATTTGCCTTTCCTGGACCACGCAGAAAGTAAAATAAAAATTATTTTTAAAAAGATAATACAAAGTTGTTTGATTAAATTGTGCTCGCTCCCTTGCGGCGTCAGTCACCTTTGGTATTTTTCTTCCTAAACAGTCTACATAGCAAAATCAACTGCGGATCACGAGTTTCAGTAAAAGAAAAAGTTCCCAATATATTTATTTTACGTAGGCTATTTACTGCGTCTTGCCGATATAAACGGTCGCTATTTGCAAAGCGGGCCTCCACCTCAGAAGTATGAATGAAAGTTGCTAAATTACCGCTTTATATGAGACTTTTCATGCCGGTAACTTTGAGTTATTGAGACTTACGTCCAAGTTCAGTACGGCTGTTGTTTCAGCAGTCAAGTCTATGTTACCGTTTTTGACCGTGACTACTCGGAGAAACCTGTCAGACTTACCGGGTTTTTATTTACATGCTACCATCAAATTTAGCTCAGTCCTCACGTGTTGCATGTTTTGTGAATATTACAAGTCGAAATAAGTGCAATATACGTAGGTTTGCAGTCATTTTAGCTAACTAAATGGGTTTTCTCGTGTAAATGCATCAGATGTTTATTTTTTTCTGATAAACAGTTACAATAATTATGAATCTATATCCTGCCCATACGGTTTTCCCATATTAGTCCAAGACCAACTTGTCCTTTTGCACAACAAAACATGGACGGTTCTGCTGTTAGCGCATAAACTTTTAGACGCGTATTAACCCAGTTTTACTTACAGTTGTCGACGTCCATCTGTCCGACTGAATTTTTATCAAATGGTGTTTACGATTCATACCAAAGAAAACGGATGGTCAGGTCACTGACCAATCGTATTTAATACTCATGAGCGTGAAAACGCTGAATGCCGGCAGGTAGACGCAGCTAGACGCGGTACATGGCATATGGGCGAGTGACACAAGCCCCTGGACTCCATCCCATGGTTTCTGCGACCTATCTGTGAGGCGTTTCCTCGGATATGCTCCTATTTGCAAGGAACAATTAACAATGTACCGGTTTCCCACTCCTGGTATTACATGGCCAAATGTTACAATATGTTGCGCGAAAACTGTTTCCCTAATAATATTATATAGAACATCAATAAACGTTATAGCTGGATACATTTTAAACTCGATAGCAAACTGAAATAATAATACAAAGTTTAACAAATGTCAAGTGTATTTTAAAGATTGTTTTTTAAAAAAGTAGTCTAATAACTTTTTGTTTATGATAACATTATTTTTTATATTATTGCGAAATGTATTATTCTGTGGCCTATTTACAAGACTTAATATTGCAAGCGCACTAAGTTAAACCTAACTAGTTTTTTTACATTTGTATTCTTCCTTTTAGAGGAACAATTTAAATAATAAATAATATTTTATGGCATTACAATTCTTAGATTTTATAATTAATACCGAAAATACAAAGGATCTAAGCAAAGCACGGTAAAATCTAACAGTTACTCAAGCTAAAATTTACAACGCAGTTCAAACTGGGTTAGAAAGGACTGAGAACCCCAAAAATTCTCAGTGGAGACATTTTTATATTCTTTTAAAACAACACACACACACACACACACACACACACACACACACACACTGAATGTGCATTTTTTCTTATTCGCACTTTTCCTTCTTATGTTAGTTGTTGTGTTTTATATTCTTATTACGACCGGCATTCAAAGTAACCCTGACGAGCGTTCTAATGAGTACTATCTCATATAAGTAAGATGTTCCTCATGCACTGAAGACAGGAGAGCGAACAGGTTTAACGTTTTGAGTTTCCTTTCTGCGGCCAGTTTAATGGCGTATTTTAATCACGAGATGGATAATCAGAAGGAGTTTCAGGAGGAAAATCTTGTATTCGCGCAACACACGCTGAAGACACTCGGCACACTGGGTTAACCTTTAATGCAGTAGAAGAAGAAGAAGAAGAAGAAGAAGAAGAAGAAGAAAATGATGATGATGATGATGATGATGATGATGATGATGATGATGATGATGATGATGATGAGTAAGAAGACAACATTTTTTTGGGGGGGGGGATAGATAACTCATTAAGTAAAAAGGTAAGTGGTGACATTTAATTATTTTAAACGCTTAACCAAGATACATATCCAAGTTGAAGGAGAAAGCGGAAATTCCACGCTGCAACATAAGACGCTTATCGTGTTGCGGTGTAACAATCCATTCCAAAGCTTGTTATGATTCCTTCATATCATTATGCAATGACACGATAAATAACGTCCATTAAAATTGAACGTCAAAGCGCTATGTAATAACAATAACAATAACAATTACACTTAAATTGTAGAGTAACGAAATAAAAATACATTGTAACCTCACCCATAAGAAACAGCCAATATTTCTCTGACTTGTGATCTGTGATTTTGCGAACCAATAAGTAGCCTAAATATTATATATTTTGGCCTTGGACATATATAATGAATAAATGGTCGAGTTATTACATATAATTTTAACAAAACATTATTATTGTTTTTGTTGTTGTTGTTGATGATTATGATGTTGTTCCCGTTATTATTCATTGTTTAATGCTACTCTTCATTTATAGTTAATAAAATTAGGAGCTGAGGCTGCATTTATCATTCCCGTGTTTTCGTACTATGTGTAAAAGCATTTACATTATCTTACATTTTGCTGTAGATGGAGGAAGTGAGTTCTGCACGTGATTGCCACAAATAGGAGTTGTTATAACAGGCTTGACATCACATGCTGCCGACACTTTTTATCTGCGCAGTCCTGAAAAGTTATACATAACTTACGGAATTTTATACCGCCGAGAAAAACAGTATATAGGCCTGTATGTGATCACAGAATTTTTTTAAAATCTCAGATATGAAAATTAAAAAACCGCCTTGTACGTTAAATTGTGTTCCACATTATCAACCACAAAAAAAATCATCATACAAATTACAAACTTGCAGTAACTTTGTAACCATTAAGTTAAGTTTCCCAAAGAAAAACATTTGACTTTTGCCCTCATTTGTAGTAAATCACTGGTTAAATATTTAGGCCCAAACTTTAGTTATTGTTTTATGTTAGGGTTAGTCTCCATTTTCGCTTAATGAACTAAAAAAGCAAGGATTTCTTTCAATGGCGATACTGCGTCTTTCATTTGTGTGTCGCTTGTGTTTTATTAATGACAACACAGAAAGGGGATGTCTATTCTTATATTACTGGTTGAATTCAGTTGCTAAGCAACCACTGTATGGTAAATCATCCGCGAAATTCAAATCTTTGAGGGAAGAACTGAGCGATTTACTGAAGAGTCACACGAGAAAGTTGTAGAAAGTGTATCAATGATACGAGAAAAATGTTTCAAAACCATTGCTTATTCACCGACTAAAGGTACAGACGCACATATATATATATATATATATATATATATATATATATATATATATATACATATATATACACTCACTCACACACACACACATACATACACATGAAAAATCTAAATCATTTTTTACACTACTTGTATACACGCATATATAAACAAAACCATATTTTACACTAAGATTTAGAATATTAAAAGGATCAACATCATTATTTTGTATAGGCCTAATTACAGTATTTTCAGCTTAAGAAGTAAATATCTAAATTATTTACATCGTCCCTGTCTTTTTTCTGTCTTGTCGATTATTTAACCCCACAGTTTAGAGGTTTCATTCAAACCTTCCAGTGACGTCACATTTATCGCTGCATCCTCGCCTAAAGATATAATTACAAACATTAAACGCTGTGTTTCATCTCTGCCAAGGTCGGATATGCCATAAAATAGCCAGACAGTCACTATTATTGCATGTATCTTCGACTGGACTGTATCACACCGTACATATATTTACAAAGAGAATACTGTAACAACGGCAGGGCGTAGAATCACTCCGGACTTCATCCTACTTTATAAATACATTAGATTTTAGAATTTAAATATAGAAAATATGTTTTGAAATAAAAAAGAAATGAGCATATAGTTAAGATGTCCGACAACCGGTTTATAAAGAAACAGTAATTGTACGACGGTATTTTAAAGTTTCAATCTGTTTTTTAACGGGAGAAAAAGATAAGCGTGCCTACAGTAACTTTAATATCTGTTGATTACACGGAACCTCAGTAACATTATAGCCTACTGTTGCCCGTGTTTACACTCATGTTTGTGCAGAATACCTTTACTTAGACGCTACAATTTATATACAAGCAATCGCCAAATTAAACACGTGCCATTTTTTTGTTTTTTCAAAAGCAACATTAAGTGTAGCCGATTATATTTCTCCACGATTATTATTATAGTTGTGCCGGCTTCAGCGTGTTATTTGATTACTTGGTGTTACCTTACGTTATATGTACTGATTGTCAAGGATAGCAATGTACTGACAAGCACAAATGTGCTATTAGACAAAACAATTAAAATGGTCATAAAGAGACTAAAACCTGCGATATATATTTACATAATTAAAAATAATTAACCGCTCGTGGACCAATAATCGGCCTCGAGGAAAAGACACGTCGATATAGGCCAAGAATCAGCATTGCAAATACCCATTTGTGGCTTTCAGATAAAAATCACTAGGCCTCACCGCTACTGGCTTAGATTACTAACAATGACAATTTTTGTTGCTATATATCACTTAGGTTATAGACACTTAACACATAAATTGAATTCGACACGGAATATTTACTTGCAGTGAAAATAATTATTTTTACTCATCAAGCGTAACGTCAGCGAAATTACTAATGATCTGGCACTTGCTCTTTGCGGGTTCTGTACTTCTTTTCTTAAAAAAAGCCTTTCCGAAAAAAATAAAAACTGTAATGAATCCCGTATCGCACAAAATGGAACCGCTTAACACGATCAACAAGCTCTCATTCTCGGTATCACTGAAAAGAAAGTCTATAATAAATCACGCAAATCAATATTCCATATATAAATCAGCGTTATCACATGCAACACAAGTAGTCATGGCATTTCTTTCTAACAAATTTATTGTTCTCAATGAGCTTTTACGGAAACATAATCGAAATTAAATTACAATCAAATAATCACATCAAAATATACCCTTATTAACTAACAACTGTCCATGAAAATTTATGCTGATTTGTGCTCCTTTCAAATGATAATAAAAATAAGACAACAGTGACAACAAGGGGGAAACCAACCTACATCTGTACGGGGAAAAATAAATTATCGTTTGCAAGAGTCCATAGTTATTCCAAATAAAATAATAAAACAATCATTTGAACGAAAAAAAAATAAAGTAAATCATTCCGATCAGTAACTGATCCAATGAATATATATTGCCAGCTTTGCAGAGTCTTTTTTATTATTATTATTATTACAAACCTACCAAACGACGCTGCTATGAAATGGCAGCGCGGTAAGTTTCATCCAGGGATCCCATTCAGTCACACTTGGCAACAGATTTTCGGAGAGAAGAATGTGACGTAAGTGCAGCTGAAGACAAGTCTTTTTAAATATTTACTTATGTAACATTTTATTCATAAACAAAATGTTTACGTGAGTCGGTCCAAAATGCAAATTTCAAAGAATTGGATCTTTAAGATCAGAGGGGCGAACAGTATTTATGTCATTTTTTCCTATTTATAAGATGGTGACAGGAAAAGGGCAAATCCTCCAATCCGTTTTAGCTCTATTATTAAACAATCCTCTCCTTTATGCAACGTACGGTCGAAGGTCCGCGGATCCCGTCGTCACGGTGCCTCGTCATTCTCTTCCTTCGTTAGCTTTCAAAAATGAGTGTTTTTTCTCGAATGCGCGTTCGGTTCTGCTGTCATTTCAGTTCAGACAGGAAAGAAAATAGACGGGAAGGGTTTTTAACTTCTTATATTTTGGTTTTGTTTCCACGTTGATGTTCTCAGTGCGCCAAAATTACCTGATGGAACGAACTTGTAGTTGTCACCCTCTGGTCGCTTGTTTCACTCGGCCCAGTTAAACTTGCATCTTTTAAGTAATCTACTAAAAAATGTCCCTGAAAAAAAGAGCAAACAGAACCTTTTAGGTTAAGACATTTGAAGGTCTGGTGCAGGTTATCGCTGCGTTTTGAAGTACGGTTGGGGGTAGGGTACCATTTTTTCGGTTAAAAATATAAAACATATCTGCAGTCGTATTCAATTTCCCTCACAATCACAGTATCAAAATGTCGCTATCCTGTCGATAGTCTGTATCAGGTTAATCATATACAAAACATTTAGGCGTGTGCTGTTCTATGTCTCACTGAACATTCGTTTGCAGTCCATGGATGGGGGCGGTGTATCTGCACTCACATTGCCGACCTGAGAGTACACATCCTCCGGCGTCTGTGGCACTCCCGGGGGCGTCATTCTTTTTTCTTTCTGTCTCCGATTGCAAAACCAGACTCTTACTACTTCTTTCTCCAGCTGCAAGCTGTCCGCTAGAGATGTAATCTCTTGTGCCGATGGCTTAGGACATTTCAAGAAGTGACTCTCCAAAGCGCCTTTTACGCTGACTTCTATAGAGGTACGCTTCTTCCGTTTCCTTCCCTGCGCTGCGATCTTGTCGATGCTGGTGGGGCTCCCGGTGGACGAGTCTGCTTCTTCCAGCCATTTGTTTAACAACGGTTTCAACTTGCACATGTTTTTGAAGCTTAGCTGGAGTGCCTCGAACCGACATATTGTGGTCTGCGAAAAGACATTCCCGTAGAGGGTGCCTAAAGCTAAGCCGACGTCAGCTTGCGTGAAGCCCAGTTTGATCCGGCGTTGCTTGAACTGCTTGGCGAACTGTTCCAGGTCGTCCGATGTCGGCGTGTCCTCGTCTGAGTGCGGCTCGTGGCTGTTCGTCGCGCCGTGGTGCTGCTGCTGGTGGTGCTGATGCTGGTGGTGATGGTGGTGGTGGTGGTTTCCGTGATCAAGCTCAGGGGTGTCTCCGCGAACCAAACCGGGGTGCACCAAACTCTGGCTACCGGGCGGGTTCAACATCCCGTTCACCGTAAATCCTCCTGGCTGGGAGTAAATTAGCGACTGCTGCTGCTGTCCAGCGGCTATCGAAGGTATGTGAGCCGCGGTGGTTCCACCCCAAGCCCCCGGGTGAGACTGGTGAGGACCCAGATGTGGGGGCCGGTGATGCAACGTTGTACCAGTATGTAGATCGTCTCTACCTGAATTGTTTTTGACGTCTTGCTGCTGGGGGCTGCCTGTCATCCCAACGGGGCTGGACGACCAAGGCGATCCCGCTTCTGCCGCTGCCACTGCGGCTGCAGCCGCAGCGGCCGCGGCGTGAGGCAGGGAGGTAACCCACTGGTGAGCATGGCTCAACATATGACCCCCGTTGCTCGTCGCCATGGCTCCCTGCATGAAGTCGCTCTGTACCATCTTTACCGTGGGATCTCCTCTGTAGCCGCCAGACACCGATGTAACTGCAGCACTGCCAGGCTGCATGCCACTGGCTCCAGAGTCTGAATGCACGATGGAGCCGGATGACAGGATGCTATTGCCGGGGAGATAGGGATTGGAAGCCGCAGTGGCCATCCCTTTAACCCTTATGACTGTGTCTGTCGAATATGCCTCCTTCTTTTTATCTAACCTTTTTTTTTTTTTTTAATCACGCAAATTCAATTCCATGAATTATTCAAGGTTTAAAAGTCTAGGTAGTCTTGCTGTACACCATTGACTCAATCAAAAGACAAAAAGAAGACAAGCAAAGTTCCTGTTAATCCGCAGGATCCGTTATTTATACATTGACAATATTTATGTATTTATAACGCAAAAAGAAAAAAAATATATATGGCATAACAAACTGTAAAATGGGAAATCCAGTCAGCACATAAAAGCCCTTCAAAACTCTGCAAAGTCCTTCAGGAAAGTTTTTGTTGTTGTAATTGAAAAGTAAAAAAGTTACGTTAAAAAAGTTTGTCCATTCAAACTTAAAGTACTGCAGGAGATTTCTCCAGTTTCCTTTGAAAAACCAGACGTTTTAAAATTCCCTCTTCTTAAGTAGGAAACCATCAGAGACTGATCCTTGCGTTTTTTTCTGACGGAGACGCCGAGATCCCCCCGTGATTCTTTTTCATTTAGTTGTATTCTTTATACACGTCTACACGCAAAAAAACATCGTGTTTATATTTCAACATGCAAAAGCATTAACGGGAACTCGAAGTGCAATCCGGCAGTACAATGTGCTGTAGTCGGTTGCAGGGTCCCTCTCATTTGCTGGCTCGCTCTCTCACCCCCCTCTCTCTCTCTTTCTCTCTCTCTCTCTCTGACAGCTCTCTCTTCGTCCCTCCCTCCGAGCTCGGAGACACATGAGTGTTTACGCTATGCCAAGCGTGCGCACACCGTCTACATCTTCCCCCCAAATAAAAGGAAGTCGTATGCAAGACTACAGTTCATTGGCTACCCGCGGCGCGATTGGCAGTTCGGAGCCCACGGGCCCCCTTCCGGCCGTTTCAATTGGCTGCTTTTGATTTCATCTAAATAAATAAACAAATCGTTAAAACATGAAATAAAATATATCTTTCGAATATTTACGCATATAACTTACAAAGATAGTTTATATTGTACGTTTTTTAATGATTAAACCACAACAGTTAATTTAAACTTTTGCTAAAATAACTGTTTTTTTTAATTAGTTGCGTTCTTTCCTGATCAGAGGTAGGCTATACCCGATTTATGGTTAAAGTTGAAAATTCCATGTACTTAACCTTGAGGGCTATTTCAAATGCCGTTATTAATATAACATAGTTGAACTACTCTGAAGCTCGAGTGGGAAAAAAACGACGGATAACTTAAAAGCTATGAAAAAGCTAAAAACCTATACTACACATAAAATAGCAGCACGCGGGATATTGTTAATATAACGTGCCGAATTACATGTAGGCTAATGATTAGGCTAAATAAATGCAAGGAGTAATATTACGGCAAAAAAGATGAAACCGAAATTATTGGAACGCAGGTGGGATTTCCTAATCACCTTGTCCTAACTCATTTACATAGCACAAAGCTCAGGGCATCCACGGAGTTAACGGAAAATATAAGGTTTCAGAGGTACTTTGAGCGCAAGCGAAGGGCACGAGATATCCGGGATAAAAACAAAGTGACAAGCAAAGCGTGGACCATCGGAGTAGTCCTCTGGAGACTGGTAAAGACCCTTTGTTTTATCCGGTGATGTACAGAGTAGCTGCACAAGTGAGCTTCTTCGTTTTCTACATTTTTAACAACCGCGATGGAGTGCGTTGTATAAGCGGTTAACGCACAAGTTCATATATAGATACGAGCGCTTCATCTGTAAAATACATTTGACCTCTAAACTGTACAGCCACGTTGCGTGCATTATTCCATTCTGATTTGGATATGATGCACGTATAGTATAAGACGGACGGCTGGCAGATTGCATGCATGAAAACCATTTTTCATAAGGAAAAAAATCCTCAGATTAAAAAAAAGAATGCATATTTTATGCTGTCACAACCCAAAATTATCAAGGAATTCTAACTTTAAAAATAGAAGTTATGTCCTATATTTCTCTTCCAGGACAATTAAATTAATTCCGCTGCGAGTAAGAAGCAGGTCTTGTGTACACTGATTTTTTAAAGATTGGTTTTGGGGCCACAGGGCCGCCTGGTTTTTGAATATAACCTGAGGGTTTTGTCGAAATCCCTGTCATGCATAAACGAACGTTTGAATTGTCAGAGCGTAACTGCCTCAAGTTCCCCCCCAAAATCCCCAAAACATGAAAAAGTACCAGTATAGGTATTGTATGTGTGCATGCATGTATATATATGTGTGTGTGTGTGTGTATATATATATATATATATATATATATATATATAATTTCCCCCCCCCCCCCGTTTTATGTTTATTTAGTGCAACCCTCGTGCTTCCTGCTGAGGAGTTTGTTTCCCAGGCAAAAAAGACACACAAAAAAATCCCCAAGTATAACAAGAGACGAACAGTTACTGCTGATTTACATTTGCATAAATTTTCATATATTTTAGTGAAAATAATAGAGGAGCGGGGAAGAGCAAAGCTCAGTTGAGTCAGAGGAAAGGGGAACCGTACGAAGGATTGTTCCGTTGAAGAAATTTTGAGATAAATTTACATTCAACAGCTGATTATTAGATACTTATCTGTTCGGGGATTCTCAGCGGGTAAGTGATCAATTTTTCATACTCATATTGAGTTTTGCTACATAAACTTGTGTAACTTGCGTTTATCTTTATTTTAATTTATAAAAAACATTCAAATAGCGTGGACTTTCGATTCCAGTCATGATTTTGTGATGCAGAATAGTAAACAGACGGTAAACCAGCCGAGTTGCGTAGCTAGCTGGAGAAGGCGCGATGTATCCAGAGCAAACAGATCTCAGTTTAATTTTCCAGGAGCAGTCTTCTACAAGTGGTTTCCAAGGCGTTTGCATATACTATATCGATTACTTGCAGTTCTGATGCAGCTTAGAGAATCGACAAAGTAACCAAGTAGTAACGTGCAATAAAATGTACAGTATTACAAGTCTGTTTCGTTTCTGAAACTCGATATCGGATACTGGGCCTAATGGTGTGGGTATAATGTGGGTGAACCTTTAACTAGATAATGTGATAGCCCATGTTCCTCGAGATAATGCATTCCTTTCATGAAGCGCTATTAGGTACATATGGGTGACGAGATATCTTGTTTATTTCTTAAGTGTATCGTACGGATCCTTTTCTTGTGTCTGTATTTGTTTGCATGCCAGTCCATTGAAAAACGCTTAGATTATGAGTTTAAGAAAGACATATATGTATGTCGTAATATAACCTGGAATATTTATTTATTTTTTTATTTATTCGTGTATTTCATCGCGCGTTTTGCCGTAATTATTTTATAGTTTATTTTAAAATGTTTATTTTCTCTTCCCCCCCCCACGGGCTAACTTTGCTTGCCCTCCCCGGTGCAGATGCTGCCTCGCGCAGCTCCACCGAGATCGTTTATTTCATTGATGGGGAGGCATTTCTGAAACCAGCATTTCGGTTGCCATGGTGAGCTGAATAAAAGAGGGAACACTAGTCGCATTAAGCTATATGTTTGTGCACTGGAGTCGAGATGAAAGAGCTCCCGAGAAGCCAAGATGATCTCACAGAAAGCCAAAGTAACCATCCAAAACTCGCTTATGTTCCAGAGGTTCATTGACCTAAAATTTCGTCGACGTAAATACTTCGCCGTAATGCAGATACCAAATATTTGCAGATACATACATGCAGACTTTCAAGTAAACTCCTCGCTGCAGGCAAAGTAATATACAATAAGAATGGATGTGGGGGAGACATTTGGTGACCAGCAGAGGTCGCGCTTAATTGTGAGCAGAACTTTGGTAAGTAACGTAACTGTTTGCTTTGTTTAGTCACAGACGATTGTTTCTTACTATTACAGCAAAGTTAACGATTACGAGAAATGGATACTTAAAATACACTGAATTACATTCAAAATTTTAAAATACAAATGGAACGTATAATCGCCCTTTAGGAATGATTTGGAGAGGAAGACCTCTGTAATTTTTCAATGCATTGATAGCACATCATTTTCAGTTATTACTAATAATTATTGTTTTCATCAGATCGTGTTTAATTTGCGTGTTTTTTGTCGTAAATATTAATCATTCATCGTAGAAATAAACAAGACTAGTTAAAAGCAGGCACGCAGGCAAAGCAATTTGCAGGAGAATATATGATTAAACATGCTACAATTGTTTATGTTTATAAATATGTATAACCAATGTGTTAAAACTGATAACGTGCATCCTCAAAATTACGTACAATTTTAAAATGGCTAGATCAGAAGAATCTGTCCGTATCACGACGTTTTAATTCCAGCCAAAATATTAATAAAACCTGTCACACGTCTTCTTGACACAGGGGATGTTTTGTTTATGTTTGGGTATATTGTGCGCCAAAGGACATACGTACTGACTCTCCGTGTGCAGTCCGTGTGTGTGTGTATAATGAATTGCATATCATATATAATTCAGTTATATAACGATTGAATTAATGTTATAAAGTTTAAAAGCATGCTGTCCCGTTACTGAAACGAACGTACTGAATACTAAATATGTCATGTAAACCAAGGGTGTTAATTTGTTCGTGTATTTGTATACGTTTGATCGTTCATTTTTAAGAAAATACACACGATTTGCATGGCAATATTTATCAATATACTACTAGTAGTACTACGAATAATAATAATAATAATGACAATAATCATAATCATCATCATCATGGGTAATATACCGGTTGAATCAGAGTTTGCAAAGCATAGGCCTACAGGTTATAAAATCAGCAAAAACAGAATGCTTACCTTTGCCGTTTCTAAACCTCGACTCGTGTAACACGTATAAGCAATCTGTTGATTCATTTCCATAATTTACACCAATGCATTACCCATTAAAGGGGAAAAAATTCATGACAAATGACAAAATACACGAAGATAAAAATAATATTGGCATATCGTTGCTTCTATGTAGGCCTAAATCTATATCCTATGAAAACTAAATTTATAAGGCCGATCTTGTACATCTTAAATATCCATAAACGGGAGAGACGCGATGGGCCTAACTGGCCAAACAGGGATGCCGTGAAATTATCATCAGCTTCACTGTGGCCATGAAAGGGTGGTGGAAACCGATTTATTAATTTTCGCGTTGCCATTTTTTTTCATATAACCAACCAACACTCGTTATGTTAAGCTTTTTTCATAGGCCTGCATGGGTTTATTTTTTACTGCATTTGTGATCATAAATGGCGATAAACCCGAGAGCAAAGATCCACCGAGGTAACCTGAAATAAATCCAAATGTAATGGTAATTATTATTTTTTTCAAATTTAATTGCTCGCTCACAAATTTTAATTACACTTTAAGATTATTAGTTCTGTTATCCACATGGTCCATGTATACGCTAATCAGAGAACATGTTCAAAATTTGTAAATGGATTTAGAGAACCTACAAACTTGAAAGATTATCAATTAAACGCCGGGCGTGTAATGTAGTAAATATAACAAAGCACGGATATTTTACCTCTAATACTTAAAACCTACGAGCTGCGGCCGCATGCATGTAGATTACCATGTAAATGCAAGTCGTCAAAGCATTTCACATTTCGGCAGATATTGCTTTTGGTCTGTCACTTTTAGGCTACTGGATATAGAGTTTCAAAGGCTGACGTGCGATGGTTGCAGAAAGGCATTGGTATGAAATACGTTTATACAGTAGTGGTATAATCTTAAAAAATGTGTTCCAATAATATTCATTTATAATAGACCTAACATTATGGGACAACAACAATAATAGGCCTAATAAAAAATATTAATCCATATATGCATGCACGCATATACAAACACAGGTTATATGCATGCTTCCGCTATGACTGAAAACAGGGCGGGAATTTGGTTTTGCCGATAAATTTACGCTCCCTATAGTACCCTGTTCTTAGAGATGCGTATGGTAAGTATCACATGGAACATGTCTTAAAAACATGGATTTCAATGTGCAAAATCAGTGAGGGGAAAAAGACAAGGATTTCGGCTTGGCGAAGATTGTTCTTGGGTCACGGGCGTTCATTTATCAAGCCCGACACGCTGTATTTATTAGCCACACTAAAAAATAGCGGAAAGGTAAGCGAAGTTTATCTAAACGTCTTTTTGGGGGCTCTGCGCAACTCCCAGATAAAAGCGAAATGGAAGCGGCGGTGAACTGGCGGAGAGGCCACGGGTACGACCGAGAGGCGGGGTCACCGATATGATAAAGTGCTCTTTTCGGGGCATATGAGACGGATCGTTGGAGGTCTTTGTGTCTCAGTCATCCCCCTCCATCACGTGGGAACTGAAAGTGGCCTCTTACTGGATCTGTGAGCTTCTCCCTGCTCCGGATTGATTATTTAAAGGAACATATGTGGGCAAGAATGAATTTCTTTTTACATGTTTTACTCAGGTCAGATCAGATAGTTTTTTCGTCGTGCACACGTATTTTCAAAAAAAGTTTATGTATTTTATTATCTGGTGCAAGTAGAACTGTAGGACCTACTTTAGATATAGAATGCTGGTAAAAATGTTGTATGAAAATCCAAAGTGGGCGAACAAACACATGGAATCATGGGTGGGCAATTTCGTAAAGATGCAGCCATTGTGCGGTGCTGGGTGTGCAGATTGCAATAGTTTCTGCTGTGTTGTTATTTGCCAAACAGAGCTGATTCCCCTTTGAGGAGGGCTTCACGGCAGCTCCCTGCCCATGATTACATTAATCAAAGAATTTATTTCCCCCGGGAAGGTGGGAACGAATCACACCAAATACAAATCAAATTTGATTGTGAAGGAACTGAGCATCCACGAAGCCCCGCATCCCTCAATTCATCCGCCTCTTCCGTTTTCAGCTGACAGGAAGCCTGACAAACTTTTACGAAGTATCACGTTGTATCTAGGTGAAGATCGGAGACAGACGTATGACAGAGAAGGCAAATCGTGAACTTTGAGTCCAGGATCGGGCGTAATCGCCACGTTAAAGAGTCGAGCGGGAAGCACGAATTAAATGCTCGGAGCTGCAGTTTTCATCATGTGGCATCTTCGCTTACCTGTCTGATGTCAATAATTCATGAAGGGCTGCTTTCCATGTTGCCAACACCTGCATTCTAACGACCAAAAATCGTCTTTACGACGCTCCAGGGCTTTATTTCATAGTTTAATGAAG